CCTGGTACAGACTATTTCCTGAGGAACAACAAGCTTTCCCCCTAAATCTACTTGCATTTCCCAATCACAAGCACCTTCTAGGCGGCCACACCCTTGCCTCCTCACTAACTTATCCCTTCTGTATTTCTCTCCCTCACGGACAAACTGAATTACTAAGCCCCTATCCTTAACACCTTCTGAATTCACCTGTCTTCGTTTCCCTTCGATGCCTGCAGCTAAACATTTCAACACCTGATTATGTCGCCATGTATATCGGCCTTGTGACAAGCTAACTTTACAGCCTGACAAAATATGCTTTAAAGTTGCGGTACGTGAACACAATGGGCATGATGGGTCCTCATTTACCCACAGTTTTAGGTTCTGGGGGGTTGGTAACACATCGTATGTAGCCCCTACCAGGAATCTAATACGATTCTCCTCCATACTCCACAGGTCCCTCCAACTAAGCTTCCTCTTCTCTACACTTTCCCAATTCAACCACTGTCCCTGTTTAGCCTGGGCCACTACCTTTGCACCCCTTACTATCTCTTCCTGTCTGCGTATCTGTTCTACAACCAGCTTTCTTTTATCTTTGAGGCCTGCTGTATTCCATACCGGTTTACCTGAGCCAAGCCCCAGGCCTCCCCGGCCAAACTGAACATTACCTACAATCTCTGCATGTCTAAGAGCTGCCTCTGCCTCCTGAACTGCCGATCTTGGGTTCCACTTCCTCCCCTTGGTTGGATTTGGAACCACACTCCTAACTACCACGTCCTTACTCCCAGATAACAAGAGCTCTGTCCTGACCTTGGTACATTTAAATTCCTCTGTTAAACTAGATACTGGCAGCTGAAGTATCCCTTTTCCATACAATGCAACACTACTTAGGCACCTAGGAGCGCCCAACCACTTCCTAATGTAGGAGCTAACCGACCTTTCCATTCTCTCCACAACAGATATTGGAATTTCATAAACTGACAATGGCCACATTAACCTAGGATATAGCCCAAATTGCAAACACCACAACTTCAACTTTCCTGGAAGTTCTGATTTATCTATTCTATCCAATCCTTCAGCCACATCTTTTCTAAATTTCACCACCTGTTCCTTATCATTCAACTCTACATTGTACCACCTACCTAAGCTCTTTACTGACTTTTCCCTAATTGTTGGGATGTCCTCATCATCTATGACAAACTTCCTATCACTTAACTTCCCTCTACATATCGAGATGCTTCTAGATTTACTAGGCTTGATTTTCATGCTGGCCCACTTGAGGTTCTTATTTACCTTCTCTAGTAGCCTCTTTGTACATGGCATTGTTGTGGTCACCAGTGTCATGTCATCCATGTAAGCCCTAACTGGTGGAAGATGCAACCCATTCTGCCGTCTCTCCCCACCTACCACCCACTTAGAAGCCCTGATGATTACTTCCATTGCCATAGTAAATGCTAATGGAGAAATTGTACACCCTGCCATGATGCCTATTTCTAGCCTCTGCCAACCTGTTGTGAAACCTGCTGTACTTAGACACAACCTAATATCCTGAAAATATGCTTTCACTAAGTTAACAACTACCTGTGGCACTCTGAAGTAGTCAAACGCACTCCAAATGAGGCTGTGCGGTACTGAACCAAACGCATTTGCAAGATCTAAAAATATTACATGTAGGTCCCTTTTGTTAATCTTCGCTGCCTGAATCTGGTGCCAGATCATGCTAGTATGCTCTAAACACCCTGAAAAACCTGGTATTCCTGCCTTCTGCACCGTGGTATCTATTAAGCTATTCCTTTCTAAGTAGCTAGCTAGTCTCTGCGCTACTACACTAAAGAAAATCTTCCCCTCCACATTCAAGAGAGAAATCATCCGGAATTGTTAGTTGAAAAAAATTGCAGTGTGTCAAAAAAGTCGTAACATAGACTATTCAAAATATTGTCATAGTAGTAGAAGAAGTCATATAGTATGTTGAAAAAAATATATAGTATGTCAAGAAACAACTGATGGTAAAGCATGTCAAAAAATCATAAATACATAAATGCTGAAAATGGTCATGGTGTAGCATGCCTAAAAACTGTTCAAAAAGTCTTAATATAGCCATAAAAAAGTTATAATATAGTATGCTGAAAAACTCAAAGTAAAGCATGTCAAAAAATTCATAATGAAATCATGGTATAGTATGTTGAGAAAAAATGTGTAGTATGTCAAAAAAAGTAGCATAGACTATGGTAGTATAGACCATTCAAAATAAAGTTAAAGTATGTTGAAAAACAACTCGTAGTAAAGCACGTCAAAACAAATAAATAAGTCCTAGTATACTAAGTTGAAAAAGGTCATAGTATAATATGTCAAAAACCTGTTAAAAAGGCATTGTATAGTTGAAAGAACAGTTTAAAAAGTCATACCATAGCATGTCAAAAAAACTGAAATGAAAAGAGTCATAGTATGGCGTGATGAAAAACTGTTTTTCAAAAGTCATAATATCGCAGGACAAAAAACTGTAAATCAGTATAGTATACTGAAAAAAGTCATATCAGCATGTCAAAAAAAAACCTTTTAAAAATGTCACTATAGCATGTAAAAGAAAAGGTTATAGTACAAAAACATAGTATTGTTGAAAAATGTATAGTGCAGCATGTCGAAAAAATGTTTACAAAAGTAATGGTATAGCATGCATATAGCATTAGTTAACGGTTAAAAAACGGTTAAAAAAGTCATATTTAAGAAGGTCAAGAAAATCATAGTAAAGTATGCTGTAAAGAAGTCATTATAGTATGTCGAAAGCAGTATAGTATGTGAAAAAAGGAAGAAGTCATAGTATACTTGAAAATAGCCTACATAAAAGAAACATAGTATAGTTTAAAAATTGTAGTACAGCATGTTGGAAAAATGTTTAAAAAAGTCATAGAATATCATGTCATTAAACATTTAAAAAAAGTCATAGTTTCGTAAGTCCAAAGACTCATAATATAGTATGTTGAAAAAAGTCATAGTAAACATGTCAAAAAGAGTTATAGTGCAGCATGTAAAAAACAACCCATGACAAAGTCATAGTATAGTATGTCGAAAATGACTATTGCATAGCCATAGTAATGTTAGTTACTTAGTGTTATGCCAAAAATGTCATATTATAGAATATTCAAAATATTGTCAAAGGTCATTGTATGGTATGTTGAATGTCTAAATAAATGATAGTAAACCAAGTTAAAAAAAAAAAAAATCATAGTACAGTATGTTGAAAAAGGTCATGATATAGCATGTCAAAAAACTGTTTAAAAAAAAGTCATAGTATAGCATGTCAAAAAAAGTTATGATACAGTATGCCGAAAAAAAAAATGTATTCCAGCATGTAGTACAGCATGTCGAAGAAACTAATAAAAGTCATAGTGCAGTATGTCGAAAAAGTCATAGTGCAGTATATCGGAAAAATAGTATAATACATCCAAAAAAACCCTTGTTGCATGTCAACTAAAACTCAAGAGGAAGTCATAGGATAGTACATTGAAAAAAGTCATTGTATAGCATGTCAAAAAACTGTCACAAAATCACAGTATAGCATGTCGAAACAGATAAAAAGTCATACCATGGTATGTCAAAAGAACCTATTGTATGGCATGATGAAAAATGGTTTAAAAAGTCATAAAAAATAACAAAAGTCACAAAAAAATCATGATAAAGCATGTAAAAAAACTCAAGAAGAAGTCACAATATAACATGTCAAAAACCTAGTTATAGCATAGTTTAAAAATCTGTTGAAAAAGTCAGTCGTGAGCACGTGAAAAAAATTAAAGTACAGCATATAAAAACTCATAAAGAAGTCATAGTGTAGTATGTCCAAAAAGTCATAGTATAGCTAGTCAATTAAAGTCACAGTATAGTATGTTAAAAAATATTTATAGTATAGTTTTGTTTTTCTTTTTTTTTAATGTATTGGGACTGTAATTTATGATTACTCATTGTTAAGTATTCTAGCATGTACTTGTTTGATTTATGGATAAATGGTTGGGTTTACAATGTGTCAGGAGTAGGAAACCCTATGATGAGACCAATAAGACTACATCACACATTGAAAAACTCCACTGAAATAAACAATATGTCAAATGTCTTTTACCCAGTAGGTTTTATTGTCACATATTCGCATGTACAACATTATGTGCTATTGATAGTATGTCATTGTAAGGCAAAATAAATATTTAAGTCAGCATTATTCTACAATCAAAATCAATAATTCTCCAGTCACGTCACATCACTCTATATGAAATACCCGTCACATAAATGCCATCCATGACCCCAGAGATGACATTAAGCCTAATGTCACACCATGAGATACATTAGTATTTGTGTCAACAAAAATATCTGATGATTCAGCGTGTTGGACAAGACATTTATTAATTATTTTATTGTAGCATATTGTACAAGAATATTATGTATACATTCAATGCAGGGCTCTGTTATTATAAATTGTTATATATGTAACAGGGATTATAAATAACTGCACTCAGATGTTGAAAATGTTTCTGAAGATATTAAAACTAAAAAAAAAGGTATGATTTCAGTTTTAAGTACACAGTAATTGCAGCCCCATATATGTCGTTTTTTTTTAAAGGCAATATAGTAATAAACTCATACAAACAGAAGAGGACAGTGTTGCATTTAATTCCCTCGCAGGTACCTGAAGAGCTCAATTAATCTGCAATTTAAAAAGATGATGTGTTCACTGTCAGTGGTCATCCAAAAGATATAATGACACAGTGATGACCACGTATGGAGAAAAAAAAAACTCTTAACTGAGCTGACAAATTCTGACTAAATTTGAAATTTCCTAAACATCAGGGACAATGTCCCTGATTTGAAATTAGAGCAACCCAGATTACTATCTCATGGATTTGAATGTAGCAGCTTTATTAGCTAACCAAATCCAAACTGTCACAGGTCATCAAACATGCAAGTAAAATAACAGGCATCACACAGTCCTCTCTCTTAGACCTCCACACTCAGGCAGTCAGACGGAAAGCCACCACCATCATACACAACCCTTCACATCCGCTCCACAACTCATTTCAACTCCTTCCTTCAGGCCATAGATACAGGGTCCCTTGGCCAAGAACAAACTTTCATCCGCCATCAACATCATCAACAACTCACAATGAAATCTTTTAATGTCCTCACTATATTTATTCTGCATTGATGTTGTGTGTTAACTTGTGTTTTTATTCTAAGTACATTTGTGAGCACGTCAAAGACAAATTTCAATTGCTTCTTGCAAGGGACAATAAAGGTTTTCTGATTCTGATTCTGATTCTGAAGTGTGAACACCACTCCAGCAGTTTCAGAGCTCAGTTTTCTTCTGTGAAGTTTTTTTCTCCTTGTGGATGACTTTCCCATCAGGCTGCTCTCTCCACTTCAGGGTGACTCCACTCATTCCTTTCTCCTTCAGCCTGTCCTGGAGCTGGGAAACACAGACGGTTGCCATTTTGAAACATCAATCCACAATGTTTGTTGAAGCTTTTATTTGGCCAGGGTGGATTTTGGAAGACTCACCTTTTTTAGGATGTTTGCTTTCACAGCAGGGTCATTCAGATCCACAGAGGGGTCGTCTGGCTCGATTCTCAGCTTTACCACCTGTCTCATTACTGGTGCTTGGATACAGAGGAAAAAAAACGTGTTTGGAATTATCTTTGTGACACCAAACTCATCCATCATACATATCTGAGTACAGTGTAACACTTATTCTAATGTAATGCTCTCTCTTCCACTGAAGGACAGTAAACCACTCACGAGGTGGAGGGACGCTGTAGCAGACAAATGGAAATCTAGATTCACAGTGCCTCAGCTTTCCTGATTTCTGCTGAGCTGTACCACATATGACGCTCGTCGAGCTAATGTCGATTGAACCTGTGGACAAGAAGCTAAATGTGTAGCCACTCCCATCTGACCAGTACATGTTGGGATCTCTGGACAAACCAATCCACACCCAGGCATCACTCGGCACCAAGTTGTGGATCTCCTGGTTCTCAGTGTCGCTCCTCACAGTGGCCAGATCTATGAAATTCTCCCTGCAGTGCCTCTGAGCATCGGACCAATTCTTTCCATTCGGGACTAAAACAAACTGAGGCTCCAGCTGTGTTCCTGCAGTCAGGGTTTGGGGAAGATTTGTTAATTTCACATAATGAATTCCAAATCAATTTCTTTTCAACATTGACATGTGCCTCCCTATATCCTTACCTCTGTAACAGATAAATGGGTAGGATATTGAGCATGAATCATCCCACCACCCTCCGGCGCTTCCAATGTTCACACAGAATTGATAGAATGAGTAAAAGTCTGGTTCATTGTCAATACGGTTTTGCCAGTTCCTATATTCCGCTCCACTCCCTCTGTAGCCGTCTGACCACCTCCAGTCAACTACACTGTACAGACCAATCCAGACGTCAGAGTTGTAGCCAGAAGATGAAACTGTGTCGGCAAGTTGGTTCATTTCT